TAGGAAATTTCATTTTAATGCACTTTGAGTTTCCTGAGAAATTAGATTCTCTGGTTCTGAAAGATGCATAGCTAACGATTCGCAGGTCCTCCTCTAAGGAGGAGCCTCCTCTAAGGCTCCACTTCAACCCTGAAATGCGCTGGCTACACCTGAAGCTAACAATAACACCTTGGCTCTGAAGCAATAGCAGGACTGTGATAGCTCAGTTCTTACAAGAAGACTCGATTTTATTCTTTTACTTCCTAATTTTTAATTGCAAGACTATGATATCTTTCATTTAAACAAATGGAGAACTGAGAACTATACATTTACATATATGTACACACACGCACCCCATACATACCTATTCACCAAATAAATCTGCACATGTGGAAGCCATCTGTGACACGTGGTCTTTCACTAAATTTTATATATATGTATATACAGATACACCACTCTATGTGTGTTTACTCCAAACTTCCCTAAGAAGATGATGATTCTCAGAGGTGCAAACTGCTGAGCTCCATACACCACTCAGCTTTCATTAAGAAATTCAGTTCCCACAGTAATACTTTGCAGTTCTGCATCTTTACATCCAAGTACACACCTCACTATCTAAGAGGCAATAGCAATCAATAACCATAGTAAAGTGGTAAATTTAAAATCCATTTTACACACAGAGATATTGTGAGTTGAAGCCATATTCCGAAATTCGGGTAGTGAATTATAGTTCCTCTGCTGACACCAACAGGCACCAGTCGAGCCAGGGAGCATATTTTTTAACTCTAGGTCACACAGCAAGATGCTACTAAAAAAAAGTCCAGAAATTCTTTTTCCATCTTACCTTCTGCTTAGAAATTAGCCCAAGATACAGTTTTAAAGACTATCATCAGGAGAGTAAGTAAATGTCAGTTCACAGCATTTCTCATAACTGTTTTCAGACAATATCTGGTAGCTAGATGGTGACATGTTTCACAGTCATTTTCTTCATTCACAGCTTCTGATTGCAGATCAACACCCGCAAAAACCTCTTATAGTTTGCATGAATAGTAAATAAGAGTCTCTCTCCTGTGGATCATTAACAAGATAATACTCCAGTTTATATCATTTGTTTAACCTCTTACTTTAGAATTAGTTGGAGATCTGGGAAAAATACTCACATTCTCAGTTGAAGGATCCAATCAAGATACGATCTTGAACACATCCACACTTACTGTATAATCCTACTATATCAAACAAAGTCAGAAAATGAAATAATTGTGAAGTCAGCTAAATTCTGGCTTGGTAAAATCTTGTAAGGAGCAGTTACCTAAACCACAACTTCCTAGGCTATAGTGTATGCATTTCAACGGGATACATGACACTTGCTAATAGTTTCTGGCTATTAATCACATAGGACTAGGTTTTCAAAATGTTTGTCTTCATTTATATTATCTACATTGTTATTACCTTTCAAAGGTTAGCACAGGTTAGATGGTTAGCATTTCCTCTGGAAAATTCCAACTTCTCAAAACCAAATCCTTTTTGTAGAAATGTGACAGGTTCACAGACTTAAATTCAGAGCAAAATACCAAAGATACAACAGTACTGAAGCTCAAAGCATCCAGACAGCTCAGCAGTTAAGGCAATTAAATAGATTCAGCTTCAAATCTCCCCCTTTTGCAGATCAAAGGTTTGAAGTATGTTTTACATTCAGTGAAGCCTCTTAATTATTTAGTTTTCAAAGTCAGTCTTTCGTACTATCTTCTTCTATGCAGTGAAGTAGCTCCAACACAAGATCTTGCTTTAAAGCTGTAACAAAAAGACATGCACTAGCTGAGATAATACTCTCTGAGCAGCACTGCGCAGAAATACCCATGCTAGGCCAGACTGAGCTAAATTAGATACCAGGAGAAGTAAAAGCTTCTGGTTTATCGGCATAGACAAAAAAAATCTAAAAAATTAAGCTACACATTTATAATTAAGGGAACAATAAAGTGAATAAGAAAATAAGATAAATGAGAGGTATTCAAAGAGAAATTCTGGCACAGGTAAAAAGTGGATTGGTTCGAGAATTGATTTTTGGACTGACTACTGTTATCTGTAGTGAACTTGACAGAAAAAGGAGGAGCACGCTAACGAAGACTGGATCAAAAGAAACAAGAATCAGAACACAAGAGGAATTAGAACAGTAAAAAAGCACTGAAAAATGCAATGCTGCAAACTGCAAGATCACACTCTTTAGAACTAATAAGCATAGCTACTTTAAGTTGAGGTCCCCTCCAACCTGAATTACCCTATCCTGTAGGAGCTCATCAGCTACAAAAGCTAGAAGAGGAAATAGATCTGGGTAATCCTGCTTCATCAGAGAAGACTTACATGACTCTTGTATAACTTACCCAAGAATTACAAAAATGAGAAGCTGAACAGAGCTACACACTTTCAGTGAGTATCAACATCACCGAAGTACAACTGAGGTTCTTTACCTAGAATTACAGATATATTTCTAGAACGACTCATTCCCCCTCAGAAAAAGTGAAGCAGAGAACTACAAGGATGAACAGTGAGCGGAAAGCCTTTCAAACACGTGGAAAATAAAAGGTTTGCTTGCCTAACCTAGCAGATGAAAGGCTGTCAGGGACCACTGGTTTTCTTAAAGATGCCAAAAGGAGTAACTCCAGCCAAAGACCACGTTAGCATAAGAATAAAGGTATATAAAACAGCCAGTAATAGACACAGACTGGAAATGACATATAGCTCATCAGTCAGAATCATTCAGAAACAACCCTCCAATAGGACTAAGGGGTGACAAAACCACCACTACTTTTAAAACCGAAGCTTGATATATCTGTGAATTTGATCAAATAAAATCATAAACTGAGCTACCAAAAAATCAGACTGGCTGATAAGTGAAGACTTTTTTCCTGTCAAATGCACTACATGAAAGTTTTTCTTCCTCTTGATAAAACTGAACTGTTTGCATACAGAAGGAAATGTTTTGTCTAAATGAATGCAAAAAAGAAGGGAAATATTCAGAAACTTTCAACTTTTCCACCATGTTTCTGATGTGTAAGAATGTGTTATTTAAAATTATATCAAAAACAAATACTGTGATTTTCTACAATTAAGGAATTCTGGTTTTCTGCTTGTATTCACGGCAGTCAGAGGTCCTTCTGACTTGCTTTTATTGCTGTTCTTGCTTCCTCCCAGGCTCACCAGTCACACCACCATGCATCTTATTGGAAAAGGTGTCTTAAACGTGGATTTAAATTAGCACGCAGCGTGGACAGCTCACAAAGGTTCTACAAACATGCTGGGATCCTGATTCTTTCCCAACCTAGCAATGTGTTTCACTTCCACCTCTCAAAAAATAGTGTGAGATTGCACGCAACAAAATAAGACTTTTCTAGATTCTTTTTTCCACAAATTCAATCAATGCTTGTACACATGAGCAAAGTCCTACAGTGTGTACCGAGGAACACTTGTCCGGGGAGAAAACTTCATGCGCAGCTTCGTTTCTCAGGTCCACGTCAGTGTCTTTCAAGAATCAGCTTGGAGGTTTTTAGACTAGATTTTACGAGGTGCTAACGATTGCACTCCGCTGTAAGCAAGGCTGTGGTTTGGCTAAGCCACTCACTGCAAGCACCCTTCCATGGGCAGCAGCCATTAGGCATGGTGCAGCTCTGTGGGAGCCCAGCGGAAAGGTGCTGCTCCCGGAGATGGTGCTTGTCCAGAGGAAATGGAAGGACACTGGGGAAAACCTGCACAGCTGCAAGGTGGAACTATCCCTCCGTGTATCACAGGCGTCACTCTCTGCTGTGACACAGGACACAGGTGACTCTTGCAATCGCTCATCAAACTACACCAGTTCTTTACAAAATTTTATTTTACCTTGAACGTCAAGCACATTACCAACCTCTGATAGTAGGACAACAGAAAAACAACACATTAGAAAAAGCCATTTATAAAGCATCGGTTAAGTTCAATACAAGACTCTGCCTTAATTTAAGAAACAAATTTTAAATTCTCACGCGAACTGTGCCTTTGCGCTTTATGGAAAAGCAAGGAATACACTTCATTAGCAAAGCATGCAATGAAAATTACCCATAGCTTGCTTAAAATGAAAAAGGAAACAGCATAACGAACATTGCAGCTAGTCAGCCAGCAGTTAGACCTTTCTCCTTGTAAACCTGCTTCCTCAACCTGGCAACCACAGTCCTTGGGGAGAAACAGCAAAGGGTACATAACTTAACACTTAATTACGCAGAACTGTTACACTGGGGCTGTGCAAACATTTTTTTAACGTTCATTTTTGTCAAATCATAGCTACAAGCAGCTATACCAGTTTTTTTGTTCTTTTCTATTTTTTAATGCTATTTTCAGTAAGCTGAATCATCCACAGGGAACCTTTTGACATCTTCTAGCTGATAGTACCATCTCCAGAAAAACCTTGTCCCTTTATGTACCAGTAGTTCTACCCTTGCATTTCACCTTGGTTTTAAGCAGAGAGTTGCATAGCAAAATAGGTGATATTATATCCATAATAAATCCAGACATTTCTCTTAATTTATAAAAATCTGATACATACTCTTGCTCCCAGAACACTTGGAGCTATGACATATGAAATGCACAAAAGCCAATGAGACTCACACACATATGAAGTCAAAGCCAGCCACAGTCTTTCAAAATCAAATACTGTATTTGTTGGCTGCATGTGAAAAATTTCACAGTAATTTACGTTTGACCAATATCATTTAAGGCCTAATCCTGCTCCCACTGGCATCTCCAGCAATTTTGCAAAGGACTTCAGTGGTAACAGGAGCATGATAGGAAACTTAAATACTAAATATCAAATATTATAGTTAATTTTATTCCTATTGAAACTGATGATGTCTTTAAAAACACTCGAGATTCAATTGATGCAAGTTATAAAAAAATTATTGGAGTTTCTCTTCTACAGGAACATATAACCTTTGGGATCATTATCGTGTTTATAATGTCAGAGGTACTTATGCTCCTGCTTACGGGATTATTGCTGGTCACCTTCCTGAGACTTGAAAGACCATAAAAGACAAGCACCATGCCTATTCCTCTAAATTACTGTATCACAAATTAATAATTTGGTCCCTTTCTAAACGGATCTCTACCCACAATTACACTAAAACATAGTGATGGGTCACAAATTCCAGGGGGTCCAACCGGTCCTGGCATTCCCGGACTGCCACGATCTCCATCTTTACCGGGTGGCCCACGCTCTCCAGGACGTCCTTCCTTACTCATACCCGGGGGACCTTCAGGACCTTAATGACACACATGCAATAAACAAATGCATTACAGAGGATTTTCCTTAAAATGAAAACAAGAGCAAGTATGGACCCACAAACCCCTGCTCTTTGGTGAGCATGCAGATAAAGAAAACTTCATTTTCTAAAAAAAAAAAACCCCACTTATTGTCACAAACTTCATATAATTTTATATAACCAACATGGCATCTTCTTAATTTTTTTTTAAAAACACTTTAAATAAAAACAGCTTTTTAAAGGAAACATAAAAATTAACTTTAGCACACTGTTGTACTTTATCATATAATCTGGAACCACCATGACATGAATCAGAGTCCTCCCATTTCTATTCGTTTCTCTGGCTTTGGATCAGGCCCCAGTATCTCTTGCAAACACTCAACTTTGCAGTTTGCATGAATACACTGTTGTTAGGAAGAACATTCTCCTTCATTAAGCAATGCCTACAAGTCCTGTGATTGTATCAGGGCTCAGTTTTCAGATAATGATTGACTTCAAGATCCATCCACCAAGAAACAGCAATCTCGGGTACCAATCTCTACAAGACCTGTCTTACATTAAGTAATGTACTAGAGGACAATTTAAAAGGCATGCAATAGACAGGCATTAGCCATAAAACATGTGGTAATTGAGACATGTAAAAACTGTCTAAGATTTTCCAAATGATATCAACATTTTTTCTAAACCACATTTTTCTAAAAATTATTAGCATACACCGCATCCCTCACCTGGAGGTCCTGGGGGGCCTTGGATCCCAGGAACCCCAATTCCTTGATTGCCTTTTGCGCCATTTTTCCCGGGCAGTCCTGTGAATTAGCAAACACATGTATATCTTTGCACACTAAGAATATTTTCATCCAATTAATTAGGAAGTCAGCATTTGTTAATACTTATTGAATAAAAAATGTAATAGTTTAAAAGCAAATAATGGGATGTAAAATAGGCATTTCCTTGGAACGTGCACAGTGTAACTGGGTTCTTACTTATCCTCATTTCTACCGAATTAAGAGCTGATCACCTGTTAAGCAGACAGCCATTATGAGTTGAGGGAATAGATGACAGGCAATTAAGAAATTTGCTGTCATTGCCTTTCAATTGGCAATTTTTTTAAGAAGTTGTATGAAGGAAATGTAAGGTATTCACCACAGTCCCTGTGGAATGCAGAATATGTAGACAATATTTCACAACATACGGCAGAATTAAATCTCAACCAAAGTAATATTGAGAGGGGAAAAACATATGCTTTCTTTCACTTGTACAACCCAACAAATTCAGTTTCTTCACAGAAACATATATCTATTTTTCCAACTCTTATGGAATAACCAGAACTGCTAGTGTCAGCTCCAGAGGAAAACTGCACTTTCTCCTATTAGAGATAAAAATATAAAAGCACTGCAGACAAATCATCATTACATCCAAAATGAATTTGATGTGCTAGTCACAGTTAATAATTCACAAAGAAAGCAAATATTTACCAACCATTTGCCTGCCTACCCTCAGCACAGTATTAGTTAGCTGTATTTTATACAGCTTTCTTGATTATTTTGATGCTATAGGAAACAACTGTTGCTGGGACCAGTTACCAAATCATGGACTTCACCCAGTCTCTTGGTCCAGTTACAGCCTATATATGCATATTTGACTTAAAGTCTGCAAATATATCACAGAAATCAGTTGGAATGCTCAGACAGATGAGTTACCTGAAAGCATAAACCTTAGCTTGCCTAAAAAGAAACCTGAATGTTTAAGAAAAGCATAAAGAAAGGAGTAAAAATCCTTGTGAGATGAAAAGAAAAAAAAAAAGAAAACCACAGGAAATCAGAGGGAGTATAAAGGTTGTTGGATGCCAAACATCAGCCTACAGGGTAGGTGATATGAAATAGCCAGCGAATAAACACTGTACTTTAAAATAGCAGGTACAAAGAAGTATGGAAGAAAAGAAACCAGAAAACATGGAAATACATGGAAATCCACATTTAAGCATATCTGATCTAAAAAAAATAATCTAAATGCAGTTAAAAACATTTACACAAGACTAAGAACTCTCTAAAAAGATCAAAACAAAGTTTGACTAGGGTACAACTGAACACTAGCTATCTTGTTGCCTTCTTGTCTTTTCTCTTCTTCTGGCATGCGTTCTTCATGAGCGGTGAAACATCCATGCAGCACCACGTCCTCAATTGCACTTTGTCATACCAACCCAGCTATCCCCTTACTCCCCCCCTGCACTAATCCCATTCAAAACTGGAGCGGAAAACAAAGTCATAAAGGCCATTAGCACTGTGACGCACGCATGCAGTACCTCTTGTCCCACGAGCCCCAGGACGACCCGGGATGCCTGTCAGCCCTGGGATACCGTCGTTCCCCGGTAAACCAGGAAACCCTCTCGGGCCTTCAGGGCCTCTTGGACCTGGTGGTCCTGGAAGTCCTGGGGAAGCACTTTGGGATTGACAGTGGTTACAGTTCTGTAGCCTTCCACTCTGGAGGATGGCAGACAACTGGGCTGGGAGAATTCAAACAAAAAATTGCTTTGAGTGTCGTAACTATAAAATATAAAAATATTGCCCCCTAGCTACTAATACAAAAACAGTTTCCTCTCTTTAGAGAATATGATACCTTTAGGAAACAAGATGGTAACGTACAGAACCTGTGGTGTGGAAATATATTTCCACACCTGCAGGAAAAGTGATAAATCAGCAATATTGATCTTGCTTTCAACAAAACATCTTTATAATTATCAGGAAACTTCTTTGACATTTCAAACAAGGAAAGAACAGTAAAGAGGCTTTCAAACTTACTTCTCAGTACATCTGAACACACCTGTCGAATAAATTCTTCCGAAAATTCTCGTGCCTGAATTGAACAAAGAATGGTTAAAAAAACAGCGAGCATGCATTGGTTTGGGGTTTTTAAGGTATCCAGAACGACAAGTTTGAGGTCCTATACATACAGGTTTTCCATCTGATCCAGGTGGTCCCGGAGGTCCTCTATCTCCCGGCTGACCTCTGAGACCAGGAGGTCCAACCAAACCCTGGACACCAGATTCTCCTTTTTGCCCATTGATGCCTCGAATGCCTGGATCTCCTTTCTCACCTTTCTGGAATGAAAACAAATGAAAACCCAACCATATCTTCACAGACCATTTAGAAGCTAGGTAGCACCACGCAAACATACTCTGAGAAAATCTTCACTGATGATCTTCAGAAACGAATGTGAGTTGTCACGGAAAACTAACTTGATACTGATGAGATCCATTTCACTAAAACATACTGAAGCTTTCAGATTCTTTAGTAACTGTTTCAGATACAATCATTTACCAAATATAAATAGAAATAAATTACGGGTTTTTTAACTTTAAGGAACCATTTTACTCACTAATTAATATAAACCAAAAGTCTCCCTCATTAACATATGGAAGGAAAGGCTTTATTCACTTTTTCATGAGAATTAGATAATTGGATACAGTACATTAAAATCCTTAGAAGGCTGGAAAAATTAGAAGTGAAATTCTGGCATCACTGAAGTTCTTGGCAAATGTACTATAATAATCAAGACTTTTAGCCTATATCTGTAGTGTATAAGACCAAAGAAAAAAATAGTTTTATTTCAGTTTGGATTTTTTGCTCGTTTTTACTGCCTTCATTTATTTTCCATATGATTGATAACAACTGTAGTCCATTTGCTTCACTGGAAAAGTTTAAAATAACACTGGAAAATATTTTTATATATCTTCATCAAGCAATAGTTCCTCTATGTATGGAACTACCTACTGTAATAGTTCATGTGGAATTCTTTCCCTGTGCTGAAGCCAGCAAAATGTTAGTACAATGTAATTTGGTATGTGCCCAAGATTAAAGTTAGTATACTGTTTACTCCCTGATGAGTTTTTTCCTTCCATTTTCACACAGCTTCTGCATAATATTATCAGTTGCTTCAAAATTCTCTTTCGCTCCTTCCAACTATCTTAGATGGAATTATGGAAACAAGGCAGCAGGATTACTTTATATGACACAAGTTATTGAAGCAACCAATGCAAGTTTAAGAAGAACTCAGGCATACAGTATTCATAGATTTACACTGAATTTTAAATTAGGACTTTATATTATTGTCTATATAGTACTTCTCAAAATTCTTTACACCAGAAAAATTCAAAGCTTCTTGCTTGGTCTGAATTAGTAATAATGCCCAGAGTTCGCCGCATGAATTATTACAGGGTAGCAAGCTTCAAATTCAGTATCAGATTACTCAGGTTTGTGCAGAGAGCTAGCCACTAAAATAAGGCAGTTAGTTTCTCCTCTTAAAAAAAGAGAGAAATGAGACAAAATGTCAAATGTCAGTCAAGTGCCTGAGAGTACTGCTGGAAAGATGGTCCACCAGCACGATGCTATGCATGAATTGAACAGCCCATACCCTCTTTCCACTACAGAAGCCAAACACTAATTCAGAACTGAGTTTTTCCAAGGCCGTAATTGTATTTTATTTTCTTGGTACTGTCAAGTTGAATATTGCAGTCATAGAGAACTGATACTCTTAGTTACACCATGTACATTTGTAGCTGTTCATTTCTATTACATAATTACAAATTTTTTTTGTCATTTAACAGGGTCAGCAAAGCTCAGAGATAAACACACGGAGCATATGTAACTGACTGTGGCTATACTAGAAGCTGTATGTGCTGGAATCTGAAAATCATGCTGTTCTCATAGCTTGAAGTTATTTGTTTAAGTTTTAATTACTTTTACAGCTATGGACTATGTTTACATAAAAGACATCTACTTGCAAGCTGATTTATTTGGATTAAATGTTAAAGGGGCTAGAAAGCACTAAGAACCAGTGAAATATTTGGAAAATGGCATCTATTGTAGAAAAACACTACGGCAAGAAGCCAGTATAAAAACACCAGGACAAAACACTGGAATCTTCAGCACAACTGCCTGCAGAACTTGCCAAAAAGCAAATGAAACTGCTGAGGGAACATTTTCTGCAGTATATCTTGGTCTTGTAATGCTCAGCCACATCCCATGTGTGGCCTTGTTTGTTGACCCTTGCTATTGGCAAAGAAAATTAAAAAAAAAATAATTAAAAGACCTCAGTAAGTGCTGAGAATTACACACTAAAGAAACTTTGTACTGAGGAGTCGGAGTCTAACAAAAGACAAGAAATTTTATAATCATAAAATATAAGCTAATTTTATAGGTCTGATAAATAAAAATAATGACATCATTATATCTTAGTCTATAGTAAGAATATTATTAAAAGGATTTTTCAGAAGAAATTTATTATTACCATGATTTACAATATTTAAAGAGGTTAGTTCAACAGTATGCAAGGAATTTTTTACCAATTTTGACAACAATTTAGCAAATCACCTATAAGCCAAACTGTAATTTTAAGTATTTCATAGAAACACAGCAGCATATAGAGCAATTAAAATGTTTAAATGCATAAAATTATTTAATTATCAGAATCGAGCTTCCAGTGAGCATGTCCAGTTACTGACATGTAGCAATGCTTTAATGAAAAAAGGTTATACAAAGAAATCTCTAAATAAAGCTGAAGGAGAATTATATTAATGGGACAGTGTGTACCCTGATTTGACTAAATATTGGAAAAAATGAAAAATAACTAACAAAGCTAATCTTTTAAATACCAATTTTTAAAACACATGCAACACAAAACTCTGGCCACATATGTATCTACATTAGCCAAACACAAGAAAAAAAAACATGGGACTTCTAAAAATATCCTGGAGAGCAACAAATGCAGTTTCTGAGAGAGCAAGAGCAATCCAAGCAGGCTTCCCCTTTTGCCCCTCAAGTTTCAGGCCGAGTTGAATTATTCCTGTAAAAACTTGGTAGTAGAGAGAAAGAATTCTGCCCTGCATTTTCTGAGTCAGTCTCAAAGGCAGAATCCTCTAAAAAAAAAAATCTTTGTAAAGGAGTGGCTGTATTTCTTTTCATTAGCTTTGAAATAAAGGTACACAAAGAAATCTCACCAGTGAAGGTAAAATCACACAAGACAAATAGTTCAGCTGTAGAAGTCCTTACCACAGACTTACGGAAGCTGAAAGTAGAGTATACCAGCACAGTTCAAAAAGAATTAGGCAAATTTAAGACTGACATTAAATGCAATGGTCTTGATCTCAAGCTTAAATGCCCCTAATTTGTTGACTGCCAAAAAGACCGAAGGTATACAAGAAGAACGATCTTCTTTGTGTACCCTGTGCCTTATTTCTGTATCCTGTCCTGCTATTATTGGCTGCTGCTGAACAATATGGATCGTGTGCTCGAGTATTCTGTATTCTTTTAAGAACTATATTTTTACTTTTCAATTAACTTAGAAAACCTAGATTTTTTTTTGCTTTTAATTATTTGCTTCCTTAACCAGCTCCTTCTCAGTCTTTTTGTTTGTTTCTTTATTTGTTGAATTCTTTTAAAGTATGTACTTGGCTTTAATTATTTTTTTTAATCTTTCATTTCATGAAATATATATTTCACTATGTCTCTTTTTAACTAATACTTCTTTCTCTTCTCTGCTATTTCTTAATTCGGTTTTCTTCCATTTTTTATAGAGATATGAATATGGAAATAAGACTGTAAACACACATTTTACAGATCACATAATTTGCAGAAACAAATGGAATAATTTTGTAATATTATATTTGTCATTACAAAATACTTACCTCTCCTCGTTCTCCACTCAATCCTTCTATTCCCTTTAGGAATTAATATGAAAAAAAACACCAAAAAGTAAGTTAAGCCATATTACTTGGCATCAAAAAATATTTTTGCCCTTTGTTTCAATTTAATCACAAATGTCAGTTTTTAAAGATTCTGTGATTGCTATTTGTACAAAAAATACAAACTGCATATAAGGATGAAAAATTTATATCACGCTGAATTAACACTTTAGCAATACCTTTAATACCATACACCAAAAGGATAAATAAGTTGGGAATATATCCTACATATTATAAATCATATATTTTATTAGTGTACAAGAAGTGCATACAGACAAAACCTTATTCAGTCTACAAAAGACAAAAGAAATAAAATGTTTTGTTCTAGCAAAAGCAAACTCTTGATTTTAGCTGCTTAATACTGTCTTACTAGACAGAAATCAAGTCAGAGCCTTTGAAATACAAACTCACTTTGTAAGCCAGTTTCGCATGTTGGCAAATAGTTTCAGTGTCAGTTCTGCAAAATGGTTCAATGGTGTTATTGATCATCAAGTTCCATGACAAGACGGCAACTCAGCGCAGGCTTTTTCAATTTTCTGATATGCTCTTATGGACAAGAGAATCTGTATCATACCTTTGAGAAGTCCCGAAGGCTTAAACCTTGGAAGGACCTAGTGCTGTCACCAGAAGTATGCGAATGACTGATTTTTTGGTTGCTAACCAAACTAGATAAGCCTGGGAAACAATTTCAGACCAAGCCTGTATTATTTTTTCAGCTTTCTCAAAGAAAAAAAAAAGCAAGCAACAGCAATTTGCATCACTCTATCTGAAAAAATATGTTTTCTTTCACTATCACTTTGTTTTACCTTATGATAAATAATAAATATATTAAAAATTTGTCCATTATTTGCAAAATAAAAAACCAGAAAGTTTAATTTGTAAAATGTAAGAGTAGGACGTTACAATTGTTTAACACCAATGACTACCTGTTTATTTTAAACTATTTATTTTCAAAAATATCTGCTCAGCTTTACTGCCGGACTCCTGTCAACCTACATACCCCTGAGAGTGATAAAACTAGGCTAACATACAATCTAGATCTCCCGCCTATGCTCTACTGGAACCAGCTCATTCTGGCTACACAGGCAGCTGTATCGATGTCGTAATTCTGAAAAAAGCAACTGTGACTTCCTTCCAAGTCTAGTTTTAGATGTGTACCTCTAACAAATACTTCTCTGTTTAGACACGACATAGATTATGTAGTTAACAAGTATTTATAAATATTAACAGTTATTTTCTGTGGTATAACAAGACAGCCAACTATGACACAATCAGAATACACTGGCCCAGAGTTAGAGAGAAACAACTCGATCTCACTGATTTGCAGCTGAAACAGGAAACATCTGTAATTTATGAGCAGAGGAGATGTCAATAATGACTCCCAGTATAGTCTAGGAGGTAATGAACTATACAAAAGTGCAGCATGGTACATGCAAAATCTTAACATCTCAAGCATCACTCTTACAATCTTTACACAAAAGTCACTCTGTGCTGTTATCTGCATTTTATACTATTTATAATTGTTGAATGAAAATTTTCCATAATTAAGGATTTAATAAAATAATCCAGAAGAATCTACTTCTGGTCTGTTTCTCAAAATATAATATCCCAGAATCACCAAAACATGTGGGCTGGAAGGGACCTCCATGGGTTCAACTTCTTTTTCAGAACCAATCCAACTAGAGTAGGCTGCTCAATGCTCTGTCCAGACAGGTTTTGCCACAATCTCTGTGAGCAGCCTGCTCTAGTGTTTGACCACCCTCAAAAAAGAATGTTTTTCCCATATATCAAGTTGGGATTTCCTGCATTCCAACTCATGTCCGTTTCCTCTCGTCCTTCCACTGTGCACAGCCAAGAAAAGCAAGGCTCCATCTTCTCTATATGTGTTGTATTTGTTATTTGTAAAATACTAAGGTTGTTTAAGAGGTAACTTATATACCTATGTAACTGTGTTATACATGAACATATTTCATGTGCTGCAAAGAACTACCCATATTGATGGAAGTAATCTTAAGAAACAAATACGAATCACGGCTCTCGAACTAGGATCACTATTTTAACAGTACCTGTAAGCCTGGATTTCCTTGTCTTCCTTTTTCTCCTTTCAGTCCCTTCACAAAAGAAGCACATTTTCTGAAAATACACATTTATCTGGGAGACATAATTAAACTATCAAAAATAACACAAAGAAGTAAAACTTAAAATCTTATCCTAAAGCAGGCTAAATCAATCTGAAAAATTACTCTTTAAAGAGTTCAGAGCAGAAACTGCGCAGGATACATTTTGCACTCCGAACACAGAGGAGCCAAGTTAGGATCTGAGTAGTGACATGATACTCTTGTCTTTCTTTAGGCATTTCCATGACTTTTAGGTAACATGGAGGAAAATCCCCCTGGTTATGTTATAGCAGGTAGGCAGAGGCCAGGTAGTGCTACTTTGACTATGAGCATTTAGGTGACCCCCCCAGTGCCTGGGGCAGGCAGGGATAGAACCCATCCCAGGACAGTGCTGGGTCATGGCCCATCTCCCTGGGGCAGCAGCACACCCCACATCCTCAGCCCCGCACCATCGCTAGGACCACACAGCTCCACACCAAATGTCAATAGCCTGCTCAGCCCCAGACACACAGCTGAAAATTCATACTGGGCGTACTGGGCAGTTTTCCTTAAAGAAGTGTTAGGGCTTAGTGCTGCTATTCTTCAAGAAAACCTTCTGTGGAGCTTAATCTTAAAAAAAACCTGCTGAATTAACGCCTAAGACTTGTATTAATAATGTTGCCAGATTATTTCATTAGAAACAAAGTTGAATTACCTGGATACCACTTTCACCTTGGTTTCCTTTGTCACCCTGTAAAATATTAGAAGAAAAGTCTCCACTGTAACATGATTCATCTCAAAGACACACGTCACAGACATGCAGTCTGTGTTTTAACACAGTAAATATGAGAAGCATCTAATAGTTTTTATTTATACTGAATGAAAACAAATCACTTTATCCCCATGTACACGAACACTGAGAAAAGTACAGAAAGTTATATTAAGAAGGGAATCTGTCATAGAAAGAACTATCAAAAAGAAAAGTGGATACTCATATACCAAGTTAAAACTAAAAAATACAACACAATGAGGTGGCAAATCCAGGAGAATTTTATCTAGCCAGTGTATGGGAGTGGAGAGGATGTAGGCAGGGAGGGGGTAGTACTTCTGATGGGTTATATTTCACCTGAATGCTAACCACTAAGTATGCTTGCCTTCACACACAGAACAGAGTATAAACAATTTCTGTAACACAATAAATTAATTGAATGCAGAAGTTATACATGAGACATCAAAGACTCTTTTTTAATCAGAAAAAAATTATATTTAAATTTAATCAAAACTGTGTAAGGACTAAGTTCTACTTCTACCCACTCCTTTTGACTTTCATTGAAAAGTTAATAATAAATAAATATTAGTGGGGTGATTGGCAATCTGATGGTGCAAATGGTACTTAAAAGGTAGGTATCTAGATTTATCAAGTTGTCTGAAGTAATTGACACTGGAGAGAAACAGGCAGTTCTTGAAAACTATTTATGCCAATCAACGACAGACGTATGAAATACGTAGTCCCAGAATGTGCCCCTCTCTCCTCATTGACTGAAACGGGAAGTTATGGGAGATGGCTCCTGCCCTAACTCTGACCTCTTAAATCAGTGTGACTCTGTTTAAGTAGAATGGAGTCAAAATGTTGGGCTGAGAACATAGCAACTCATGAAACAAAAGAAATCTGTGGGTGCATGTGCAAAACTGCATTTAAAAAAGAAAATAATTAGGATGGAGTTTTTGGATCTGTTTTGCAAATTTTGTTCTAAGAGCCAAACGTGTGTGTTCCACTGTTTTTTGAAAGTGAGAATGTTTAGTTAAATGCTAAACAGTAGTGAAGAGGAGATTTTGGCCATCGCAAATGTTTTCCTGACTGAAAATCCCAGAATATAAGCGGGTATTTATGCCAGCTGTATTTGGTTGTATTGTTCTTGAATGTAAAATACTTGGTTTGGTTTCAAGTTTTAAAATAATGTATAGCTGAAAGGAAGGCTTCACTTTTACTGTCAGATGCCCAAACCACTCTTTTAGTCCTGAAGAATTCAAGAGTCTGTCATACTTATGAATTGTAACTACAGTTAACCAGCAATATATATTCTGACTTGCATCTTTTCTATAAAATGGATAACGACTTTTGCAAAACCTTCTTCAGTTTAAAACTTAGAGAGGTTCCATTAATTCTAACAAAATCTCCCTTCTGAAAATCAGTATTACTGTCTTGGCATGTGTACCTTAAATGACCCTTAAATAGTGAAACTGAATATATGGTGATAACAAAACTAACTGAACTATTGTTATGACTCTGACTCCACTCAAGTCACACTTCCACTGGGCTTCAGTACATTTTGAAAGACTTAAGCCAGGAAATCTTTGTCCTTTTGCTCTGCAAATAACTATTTTGAAACTGGTCAGAAGAATAATTTTTCTACACCTTGTCTTGGAAAACGGAACGTAGGTTCCATTGTCTCATTTAGCTGAGACAACCTCACCTAGATTTGGATCATTCTCTAGCCTCCACTGGCCAGGGCTTGCTTCAGTTGTCTAAACATAGGCATTTAAGCAGCTCTAGGCAAGCCAAGGCATCCCCATATGTGTCTACTGACATCCAAAATACTCTAGCATACCTAAGACATCCATACATGGCTGGCACATATGACGCTGGACATAGAGGAAGCCTGTGCCCTTCTGGAGCAGAAGCTGAAGTCGAGTGGACTAGCTCTGCATGGGGTTTTCATAAAACTTTAAACATAACACCATCCTTCTAACTTACTGCTTCTTTATGCTTCAGCCTTTCTTTCCACAGTGAAGTACCTGATTTAACTCTATTTCTGTAATGTCTTTATCTGAAGGGCTTCATCCTTCAAAAGGTGGTCTTCTGCATTGCTGGTAATACTACACAGATCATTTTTTACTAACTGCTTATTTCTATCTATCTGACCCCTTACCTGAGCTTTCTTTGCTTTTACAGGATTTCCTGTTTATTCTGAAATCTGTAATTTGCATATGTAATGAAGAAGCCTTTGCCCTAGTTGAGACTCCAGTATTTCCTAGGAAACATTGCTAGATTTCTAACACAAGTGTCAGATATATTACCTAAACACACTTAATTTATTCTTATATAAATTTTTCCTATATATTCAAATTTGAAGTTACTATTAAATCGGTTCAAATATAAGTTAAAATTGTATTTAACTTGTTAAATTAATTGTACTGATTTAATTAATTTAAAACTAATAATAGTTTTTTTAAATTAAAATTTACATGTAAATATTATATTTGGGCTGATAGCAAATATAGCAACATTTTTAGCCTCAACAACTTGTTGCTTAAATAAATATCTAGTTTGAATAGTTGCAGGTAAAGCTTGTTAGTCATAGTCTAACTAACTAAGAAAACAAGTCTGTCTGTTCCATGACATCAGATCACTTATATTGCTCCAAAGAAATAGTCTAACATCAAAATAAGCTTTACACTTGTATATGCCAATTAAGAAACTCACTGCAAAAAAAAAATTCCTAGTCATGTTTTCCCACAAAAATACAATAAAATAATGACAGTAATAGCAGTACTCATTATCTTGCAAAGCAATGAAACATTTAATTTTCAGGATGCACATATTATTGCTTTAAAAGTGTCCAGAATAAAGAAATCTTAATTAAACTTTAGAAATGTAATGGATACAACTCAGAGCTTCAGTTACAATTAGAAATAATTAATTTACAGCAATGGAACTAATTTGACTTCAATCACTTCGAACCATGAAAGCTGACAGGTGTTCAACCCTGAAATTCTCCTCTAATCACATTATTAAAGATTTTAGCAAATATTTTTCCTCCAGCTGTTTCAAATAAATGTGTAGTGTTTCCTTCACATAAATTTGCCTAATAGCATATGCAAAGTATAAATGTATAAATTCTTGGTCTTTCTCTGTTTCTTGGTTAAGTTACATAGAAGAAAGGTGCCATCCTGGAAAAACATCATCTAGAAAACTCTAACATCTGTTAAGCCCTTCGTAGTTACCCTACATGTCAGCCTGAACAGTACAGATTGCATGAAGAGTAATGACTTTCAATCACTTCTAATTTTCAGGTTTTTAAATCCCATTCTATAGACAAAGAATAGCTGATTTTTCCTCAAGAGACTCAGTTCACACTCCAGTCAGTTCTAGTGAAATAAAAATAAGTCAGTATTTTAAAACTAGAAATATTCTAGTGGCTTTCCAGCTTCCAGTCAAACAAAAAGCTCTGCCATACTGGCCGAGACAGAACTGAGAGCTTTCAACCGCACAGGGGATTTTTAATAGAATGCTGCCATCTTGTACAAGAAAATCTCTAGGAAAGAATTTAATGTAATGTTAATTACAGCTTGAAGTTATGCAAAAAGCTGCCTGCTTGAATTTCAAAACTTGCCAAAGAACAACATTGCCTATAACTTTTTCAGCCTGGGACCCCTTAAAGACATGTGATTGTCAGAAAATCCTACATACCTACACTTCAAAAATAAGGATGACTACCCAGGTAAGTCAAACATCAATACAAAATTTTACAATGCGTTCACAAAACAGCTCTTCAGCAATGAAGAATTTCAGCATAACTACATCTATAGCAGTGTTTGGTAAATGTAAGGCTGCACCAAGAGACGGTGAGATCCTTGAAGGCATGATCTTTATGAGAACTCAGTATACCAGAGGAATAAACATAGGTTCTTGTCTGGATAGAAGAAACAATTTTCTACTTGTACAGTAGAAGTAGGATCCATCTAACCTAAATTTTGCTGTCTAAAATTTCACCATTTAAATTTAGCTAATTGTCTATGCTTCAGCTACAGTCATAGAAAGGCGCAGAGATGTGAATAAACGACTCCTTAAGGAGCTCAGACTCTCTCAGCCAAATATGGCAAGAACGCGGACAGCTTGGTTAGATCAGATAACTCTTCACGGCTAAAGCTGAGCTGAATCTGTCCCAGCTGCCATGGGTTAAATTCTCCACTTCTCATGGGAGCTACACAAAAGACTTTGTACAACAAACTTCATAGATTTTGCACTTGTGATAAGATATAAGACTAAGTAAATATAGAATCAAGGGTCATACCATTATGTACTATAATTCATAATTGAAATTTCATTAATACCTATGCTGCAGAATTTAATGTGAACAGTTTCTCCATTTTGGCCGTTCTCTCCTCCCTATGAAAAAAGCATTGTTTTTCTTAAGAATGGGCCTTCCAGAATATAACAACTATTCTCTAATAATGACTACGCATTTAGAAAAAGGATTTCCTTTAATCACTTTGATCACTTACAAGAAAAGCACTTCCAATAAAAGATGCAATTAATATATACTGAGTAATACAATAGCTCTGTGTCAGTGATGTGCTGTGTGTAAAAACATACATTGCGTGTTTTCTCAAGGTCACAGGATATGCTTTGGCTATGATTTTTTGTAATTTTTAATAATTTTATAACTGAGGATGATTCCTATGTCTGGAGAATTTGTGATGCTGAACACAGAGAAGCCACAAAAGAAACTCCTAATTCTTAACCTCAGATTTCTAGTATCTTTTTTAATTGCCTTTTAATACAGTTGATGTTGATTTTTCAAAATTACACAGATAAAACCACTCGAAGTAATGGCAACGTTAGCCGGTTTGAACTTCATGAAAAGCTGACTTTTGTTGTTTAAAATCTAGTATAAAATTAGTAAGAAAGTCATCAAATGGATTCTGATGCAATTTTATTTCAACTACTGCTTTATTTCGAAACAAACTGCCTTGTAATTAATCATGGAAAATCAGTAAATCATGGAAAAGTAAATTAATCCCTTCTTTAACTAGAATACTTCCAGATTCATATTTACCTTGGCTCCTGATGATCCTGGTTTTCCCTGTATTCCAGGCTCACCTTTATCACCCTATATAACAACAGAAGAGCGTGGCTGATACATCAGTATGTTTCATCACATGTGGTATGACTAGCAAACATAAACCGACACCGCTGTGAAACTGGCTCTTAAAAACAGGCACAGCTAGTGACTGAAAGGCTAAAGCCTTGCTCCCTTACAGGAAACCTGAAGTTTCAACTTTCTCTGAGGAAAGGTGAGATACTAAGGACAAAATGTGATCTGCCAGCCCCTGATCACCTGTCTCTTCCTCACCTGCCTCATTTCCCTTGCCCAGTCACACCATGTTTGTGTGTATTGACTTCACATTTCCATCATCTTATTTAATAAAACTCTAAGAAATATTTATTCATGTTTCGTTTTTTATTGTAGCCTATGGAATTAGACATATTCAGCACGAGGATTTTCATTAAAATCTAAGAATTATTCATTACTTCATGATGCTCTTCTGTAAGAATGAGCTTATTAAGAATGATTCTGTAAGAATCAGCTTATATCCTGAATGAGAGAGAAATATACAAACCAAAAGGACTTTTCACAAATGAAAATAAAGCTAATTAATTTTTAGTCATTTCGTAGGTATTCAATTTTCTTGACCATTGTAAACATTGACCACTTTAAAAAATGTTACGTTCGGTATACCATTTTAAAAATTAAATACATACGTACTTTTGGATATAAACTAATGTATGGAACTAAATGTAAATACAAAGTTCGGGAAATGGATTCTATGTTCCTAAATATTCTCTAGGACACACAATTCAATGCTTACTGGCCAAAACTCACCTTGGATTAAATTAAAAGGTTACACTAACAGATCTGGATTTATAGTATGTATTTTAGTTTCTGAGAGCATGGGTCAAATTAATTCTTGCTGTAGCCGCAGTGCAATCAATAAAGTTACATCTGAAATAAATTTGGCTCCTTGGGTGGAAAAAGCAGCACATAACATTATTTAACACAAATAAAATATAAATAAATGTAACACGGGCAGAAAGTTCTAATGTATACTGAGAATAATCTGGCTCCCAGCACTGCAGAACATTTTCCAGGACTGCAAAGCTGAAACAAAGTCTCTTGACCACTTCTGTAACTGTTCCAAACCTCAGGGGATGACAGGCACCATTTACTGAGCTGTATTAAGCTCTCTTGAGACTGAACTATCATGTAAGGTAATATAGGGAAAATCATACAGCTACTCACCAATATTCAATATACCAAAAAATTAGCTGCAAAATCTTGGCCTTTTGTCATCTATAAAGCAGTCATTTATCAAAGTCACAAGCAAATTAACACAAACACTTACCTTAGGCCCAGGAGCTCCAGGTAGACCAAATGAGCCTTCTGGTCCCATTAAACCCTATTTATTTGTGAAAAAGGCAGAGACATTTCTGTAATAAGCTAGAGAAATAATGGTTTCAGCACAGTGTATTAGTATTATTAGTAGAAATACAGCTCTCTTCATTGTGTGATCTTTTTTGCATTCTTTGAAGGCTTTTCCAAAAAACATTATGAAATCAGAATTTTTTCTCCTCAGATCCCTGTTCTGTGCTCATTACTAGCACGTTAATCGGTAGAGAAAAGCAAGCACAAGTTTGGGGAGGGACAGTGGGAAGGGATGAGAATTGCGATTAAGGGATTTCTGGCTCCTTTCACACGGCCACCTCAGTGTGACCCTTTGCTGCAAGTCATGTAACGTGCCGAGAGCCTACCCTCTACCAACTCCACACCAGATCACTTCTAGTTTATGCCCATACCAGTCCTTGGACTACAGAAGTGGTTAAACGTTCATCACAGACGTCCCTCATTCACTTTATCTTTTACAAATTGGAAACACTATGTGCACAGAATTTGGGGTTTTTTTAATCAGATATGTGTCTATATACATACTGATCTGCAAACATATACTAGAGGAGGCAAATCAGAAAATAAGTTTCGTACAATGAAAGGTCAGGCATACATCTGCAGGAAAGGGAGAAATAAAACACAGTCGTCCTGGCTTCCTGTCTTGCACTTTAACTACTAGGCCATATTTAATGTGCTTAATTTAAAAAATTACAGGAAGATGGCTACATGAAATCAGTACGCTGCAAGAAGAAAACTTTAAGATGCAATATAGAAAAAGCTTGACAACATAATCTGAAAACTATAGCACATAAAATTACAAGAGAAAAGTATGTCCTGAATGCAAATAAAGAACAATCCAAGGACATAAAATGTAACGTTACTACCCAATTTTCCAAAGCTGACATTATTTGTGTGGCAGATATATTAATAAATCTCTGATGTTGGCAATGTAATAGGGACACTTATTACTGAAGAAGAACTTGTTATTGAAGAATTTTCCCAAGGTATTAATAGAGCATCCACAAGCTTTCCATCTGTTTTTTCTGGAACAAACATCTTCAGTGTGACTAATACAAGGAAAATCCCACTATCTTTCCTGGTTGAAATTCTCTAATGCCGTACAACGCATTCAACTATTCCATGCATCAATCTCCTACTTATTTATCAGGTGACAAAAGATACATTAAATGACTTGACAGGAAACATTAATAAATTATTTTCAAATGTATCAAGAACCAGATGCTATTTACCTAAATAAAATTTTAAGAAAACATGGTAGATGAGTTACTTGAATAAACGCGCACATTTTGGAATCCCACAAGGCTTTATTATAGCAGCTGATACAGGCTTCCCTCCGGCATTTTCTTCAGCCTTGCTCAGAAAGAAATGGAGAAAAAATATTCCCACAACAGGCAATAAAAATGTACACGCGTTAAATAGGAGTAGGGAAATTTGAACTTTCAGTTCAGGCAATGTTTCTTCCAATTGTGGTCTGAACAATGGCAACAACTGGTTCTGAAGGAAATTTATTCTTTCCAGAGAAGACCATTAGGTGGCTGAAAAAGTTCTTTAAGTTCATGAAAAGAAGACTAACCACTGTACTCACTTTATACAAAATGGCTGCTGACAGCTCTAGTGTAGTGGTCATGCCTGTGGTAGTCAGGAAAGGAAGAGGTGCTGGGTGGATGCAGGGTAGCTGTATATTGTGCAGGAAATTCTAAACGTATGGGGTGACAGAGTAGCCCAGAATTTGAAAAAAAACCCAGCACTGGTTTAAACCTTTCTCTCTAACCAGGGCTGCATTGGTTTTAATTGATCTCAGGTTTTATTAAGGAACTGCGAGCATGGAAAAAGAGGTGAACTCTTCAATACATTTACAGACATTCATAAGCCTATGTATAATCTTTGTTATCTGGAAACCAGAGTCAAGTTTTTTTAAACCTAGCATTATTCAGAGCGCAAGTTCAGGGCTCTCTCCCTCATCTGTGGTTATCTACAGAGATATAGGAGAAAGCACAAATCACACCCTTAGTTCTTCTGCATTGTCTTTGATGAAAACCAATAAAACAAAGTGAAATACTAAGAAAAGAAATAGAAAGGATGATGAGAACTGTGGAGTGTACAACTTTGAAAAGTCTATTTACAGTTTAACAACCTACACAGCTTCTTCAAGTGATAGTTCACATATCCATTTGGATTTTGCGTGACTAAGCAATACTCAGAACAATCAGAGCATCCTAAAACAAATATTTAAGAGTCCTTTGTGGAATCATTGATCCCAGCATCATTCTGACAAATGCACAATCAAAAGCAAAAGACCACCTCCAAAATGGTGAGGTTTACTTCTGATGGGACAGACATACTTTACTGGGCAGACACACAGCAAGCCTTGACTTGCCGGGTGTGTGATGATACCTCCTTTTGGAGGTCTGAACAACTTGACTGATTACAAATGAAGTTTAGCACCTGATTTAAGTGCAATTCATATGCAAGATGAAATAGAAAATTGGGAGGGGTCTGAAAGCATATTCTCTCTGAAAAATAAAGTTGAAAGATTTGAAAAATATTTCCAGTCATTCGAAAGCTGAAAAAACTATTCAGCCTTCAGCATCTCAAGTTCATCCACCTTCTGACTGGAGAGAAAAGGCAACCTTCGCAGAAAAAGAGAGAAAAATAGCCAGTGAAAACCAAGAAGTCTTTCCACAATGGACATAACCTTCTATTAAATCAAAGACCCTCTCATCAAATAATCAACCAAATAATCCTATACAAAATGACAAAAAACCAAGAAATTTGGTGCAGAAAAAAATAGACCTGCTTTCAGGGAGACGGCAGTAGGAGTTACAAATACTGAGAGGACTTTAATTGAACTGATACACATAACCAAAACTCCAACACTAAGATACTATCAGAAATGGCAAGGATAGAGAGGACTCAGATTCAGATAAGCCTTAGGCCAAGTACATGCTCCATTTAGACAGGTAGGCATATATTGCTCTTCTTACTGGAGAGGAGTCTCCTAGAAATAAAGAACCACCCAGCATCCATTCACATATGTTGTAACTGTCACTGTCTTCTCTAAATCCTTTATTGTCAGGTCTGCTGGGTGTGAGAAGAGCATGAGACTCCTTAACAGCAAGCTCAGGAAACTAACAAACCAAAACTGTCTTACCTTGCCAGATGTAGGCAAAATTTGGTAAACTAAATCTGACTTCATCTTTTGGTAGTCATTAGACAGCCATGGAAAAGGCATAAAGCATTATCTTCCTCTGTGACTTCAACTCCAAAGTGTGGAACTCTAAAGTAAAGCAGACTGTATTTCCAGTTACAAGCAAGAGACACAGCATTCTGGAAAATTCCATTCAATAAAATTACATCAAGAGCAAATTTCCCACTCCTGATTCAATATTCTACAGTCAACGAGCCTGCCTGACATCATAGAATCACAGAATCACAGAATCGTAGGGGCTGGAAGGGACCTCTGTGGGTCATCTAGTCCAACCCTCCTGCCGAAGCAGGGTCACCTATAGCAGGCTGCACAGGACCTTGTCCAGGAGGGTCTTGAATATCTCCAGAGAAGCAGACTCCACAACCTCCCTGGGCAGCCTGTTCCAGTGCTCCGTCACCCTCAGAG